ACGCCTGATAATAATAATCCCTCAAGAAAAAAAATAATAAATTGGCCACTTCAATCCACGACTATTTGTGGGACATTGCTGTGTGCAATTGGCTGCTGCGTTACGCCCACAAATATAGTTAATTCACTTTATAGTATATTCTGTGAAGCCCTTTGAGACGTCTCAAAGACGTGAAAAGCGCCATATCAAATACAAGGATTTTTGTTATTTATTCTTATTAACTTCAGTTGTGTGAAAGTTACTGGAATGTCTCATTAGGGACAGAGTGACTGAGCACTTGGACAAGTATGAGCTAATCAAAGAGAGTCAGCATGGATTTGTGAAGGGTAGGTCATGTCCGACGAATCTAATTGAATTTTTTGAGGAGGTCACTAACATGGTGGATAAGACAGTGTCTATGGAAGTAAGGTTCCGCACAAAATAAAAGCGCATGGAATCAGAGGTAACCTTGCAACGTGGCTTGGTAATTGGTTGGAAGGCAGGAAATTAAAAATAATAATAATAATAATAATCCTTGCATTTGATATAGCGCTTTTCACATCGGGAGGACGTCCCAAAGCGCTTCACAGAACACACTGTAAAGTGAATTGACTGTATATTTGTGGGCGAACGCGGCAGCCAATTGTCTGCACAATGTCCCACAAACAGTCGAAGATTTAAAATGACCAATTTATTATTGTTTTTGTTTTTGAGGGATTATTATTAGGCTCTGTGTGGAGTAAGGAAACTTGCCCAAGGTTTCGCCCTCTGCCTGGAATTGAACTCAGGTCTCTCACTTGCAAAGTGAGTGCTCTAACCACTGAGCTACAGGACTCCACTTGGAGAGTAGGGATAAAAAGAATGTTCTCTAATTGGCAGAACGTGACAAGTGGTGTTCCCCAGGAGTCTGTACTGCGGCCTCAGCTTTTCACCATACATATAACTGACTTGGATGAAGGAATAGAGAGTTTTATATCCAAATTTGCAGATGACACAAAGTTAGGAGGCACAGTGAATTGTTTAAATGGGAGTAAGAAGTTACTATGTGACTTTGACAGAGTGGGCAAAATTGTGGCAGATGGAATTCAATGTGGAGAAGTGTGAAGTCATCCACTATGCATCCAATAATAGCAAAACAGAATATTTTCTAAATTATGAGAAACTAAGACCCGTGGAAGAGCAAAGGCATTTGGGTGTCCATGTAGACAAATCACTAAAAACAAGCTGGCAGGTACAAAAAGTTATTAAAAGGCTAGTGGGATGTTGGTCTTTAAATCAAGGGGGCTGGAATATAAAGGAGAGGAAATGATGCTTCAACTATACAGAGCCAGATGCCTTCTGGATTCCCGCATTCAGTTTTGGGCACCACACCTCAGGATCGATATGTTGGCACTGGAGGGAGTGCAGTGCAGAATAATACCAGGACTTAAAGGGTTAAATTATGAGGACAGATTGCAAAAACTTGCTCTCTATTCCCTTAAGTTTGGAAGATTGAGGGGTGATCTGATTGAGGTTTTTAAAATAATAAAGGGATCGAGGGTCAGAATGGCCTATTCCTGTTTCTAAATAATATAGAATCTCAAGTATATTTCACAGTGTTTGAAACTACTGTATTTATAAGGATTAAATTGGGAGGAAGTGGAAGCAGTTCAATGCTGCTCTTATACAAACAGACATGTTAAAACAATTCCGACTTGATATTTAAACACACACTACCATCTCTGATAATAATAATAATAATCCTTGCATTTGATATAGCGCTTTTCACATCTTCTCGACGTCTCAAAGCACTTCACAGAATATGCTGTAAAGTGAATTGACCGTATATTTGTGGGCAAAACACGGCAGCCAATTGCACACAGCAATGTCCCACAAACAGTCGTAGATTGAAAATGACCAATTTATTATTGTTTTGGAGGGATTATTATTATGATTATTATATTATTATTATAATTATTATTATGATGATCAGATGCTTCAGATGCTCTCCTCTTCAGGTCTAACTCCTGCTCTTCTGGAGTCCTGTAACTCAGTGGTTCGAGCACTTGCCTCACATGCGAGAGGACTTGCGTTTGATTGCCAGGCTGGGCGAACCCTCAGATAAGTTTCCCTACTCCACATGTCTCTGTTCACCTAGTAGTAAATAGGAACCCGATTGTTAGTCGATTGGCAGATTGCTTTTTCGGGGGTAATAATCCTTTAAAACATTTTTTTTTAAATTGGTCATTCAATCCACGACTGTTTGTGGGACACTGCTCTGCGCAATTGGCTTCGGCATTTCTCACACAAAATATAGTCAATTCACTTTACAGAATATTCTGTGAAGCACTTTGAGAAGTCTTGAAAGCGTGATAAGGCTCTATATCAAATGCAAGCATTATTATGATTATTATTATTATTATGGCATAACTCCACTGAGGTAACTCACCCTAGAATACTGGAACAGTAGGGTGGCGTTGCAGTGACTGATCAAATCATCCTTCACATCTTCAGATGCTTCACCTTTGCAGCATAACCACGAGACTTAACTATTATTGTTGTCTTATGCTGCCTTCTGTAAGTATTAGCTATTTAAAATGATGGAAAAAAATTGAAAGGATAGATAGTAGTACAAGGGAAAGTAGACTCTTCCCTTTGGTGGAGGGATTTCTTACAATGCATAGTCATGAAACATTTCTTTACGTAGGTCTGTGGAGATGTGGAATGCTCTTTCCAGAAACTTTAGGTATGGAATGAACGTTTAATAATAATATTAATCCTTGCATTTGATATAGCGCCTTATCGCATCTTCAAGACATCTCAAAGCGCTTCACAGAATACACTTTAAAATGAATGACTGTATAATTTGTAAGAAAGAAAAACAGATATGGCAAAAGGGTGGAATATTTGGATTAAGAGATATGCCAAGATCTAACAAACTGGTGAAACAGGCTTGAAGGGCTGAATGGCTTCAGCCTCATCATGTTCCTGTTTTCCTGTTAGATGTTGTGGCAACATGTTAGGATCACAATTTGTGTTTGTGCGGGCTTGTGTTATATTTATGTAATATACTGTGATATATACAGTATTATCTATACTAATAAAACAACAAGGTCTGTCTGCGCTTCAAGAAGGATCTCAATAACCGATTGACGTAGAGACAAGATTTTTACCTCATCGGAAAGATCGTGAATCTGGAAGTGGCATGGGCATATTTGTTTTTGGGTATCTCCAATCATTTATGAGTTATTTCAGTTTTGCGTTTTTCACTGCAGTTATACCTGGTGGCTGCTGAGTCAAATTGGCGCTGTTGCGTCATGCGTTTCAGAGCACGAATGTATGTATGCACACACTACAGTGGGCCGCGTCAGCTGACCGTAGTGCTGTGGCATCCTGCGTCACTGAGTACGCACATAGCTAAGCGACATGAACAAAATAAAGAACACAGACGAAGCTAAGCTGCAGTAACAGCAACAAAATTTTATTTTTAAAGCAACTTTCACGTCAGGAGGACATCCCAGTAATTATAAATTATACATTTATATTCATCATTATAAAGATTCCTTAGCGAAAATCAAACCTTTCAAGGATTAGTAAAAATCCTGGACAAAAGAGAGAAGGCCCATTAAGTGAAACTGAAGAACAAAGTCCTTTCACAGGAGGCGTTCCAGATGAGTATAGATAAAGATGAAATGTCTGTCAGTGTGTCTGTGTGTCAATCTATTTTTCCGTATTGGATCCTTTGGTTGCAAGCGAAGCTGCACCTGGGATTTCTCAACAGGTATAGCTAGTATTATATATAAACATTTCTTCATACGTATTGAGAAATGTGATTTGTGAATGTATGACCAACCTACAGCATGCCCAGTTTTATGATCATTTTTGCATGTCTCAAAGGTCCAACATTCCAGGAACCTATTGCAACAGAGAGTTAGAGCTCAGCAGCATCATAGACAGTGATGCTGTTATTACACTGCGTTTTTTTTTACTGATTTTTTTTTGCAGTTATTTGTAAGATCACAGTGATAGTTAATGTAGCCTGTAGGTAACTGTAAATTGTGTTTGAAGAGTGTTGATATAATTATTGTTTTTACAGTACTGTTACGCTAATATGTTGTGTTCTAAAAATAATTTGTGTACACAAATACATATTATGTACAGCACGTTTTAAGGGGCTACAAAACAATTGCCAGGAATGTCAGCTTGGCTCAGTTGGTAGCCCCTTTGCGACAGAAGATTGTGGGTTGAAGCCCCATGTCAGGACCTTGAGCTCACAATTGACACATCTGTACAATCCCGAGGATAGCTGCAATGCCCTCCTTTGGATGAAACATTTAAACTAAGATTCTGCCTACCTGGCACTATTTGAAAATGGAAGGATATTTTTCCTGGTGTTCTGACCAACAATCCTCCAGATAAATTGGAAGCGCTATATCAAATGCAAGGATTATTATTATTATTATGTGTGGGACTTTGCTGTCTACAAATTGGCTGTTACATTTGTCTGCAAAATCACAGTCACTGCACTTTGCACACATTTCCAGGGAAGGCCTGTTTGATGTTCCAACGTTGTAGGCGCTATATAAGATGCAAGGCTTTGGAAAGTGTTTCAAGACATAATCCTATTGGAAGGATATATTATAAATGCAAGTTTTTGTTGCTTTATATGTGGTATATTTTATAATTGCTATAGGATATTACCTGATTTTAAATACAATATTCACATAAATGTAATTTTCCCTAAAATGGAATGTAAAGCTTAACATTGAGAAATTAGTTTTCTTCCTTATATTTTCACATATTTTTCATGTGTTGTAGTAAGTATAGTAAGCCTTATCCCTTGTTCACAGATTCCCCTGTTCATTTTTTTTTGTATAAACGTATAGATGAAAATTCAGATACAAATATGGTTATGTTTTAATAAGCCTTAATTAATAAGAATTAATTTCTGTTCAAATGAAAATGGTTGATTTCCTGTCTCCTTGCACCCCATACATCTTGTAGGTTAAAAGCTTTAATATTGGTTCTGTCTTCCTTTATAGTATCTGCAGAAAACCTGGAGAAGAATCTTAAGCAGATGGAGAAACAGCTTCAACAGCTTGAGAAAGATTTGGAGACCTTTCCTCCAGCAGAGGACATGCATGACAAGTTTGTGACAAAGATGTCCATATCCTTTCTGACAGCTACACAGCTCATGGAGTGTCATTTAGATAAGCCTTACATATATTTATCGTTTTTAAGTGCATCAGTGAAGCTGCTGCTTCAAAAGCTAGAGGAAAAAGCCTTTTTATCTGAATGAATGCAGTACAGTAACCAGTAATAAGACTGCATTTTAAAGATGCATTTCATTCATATTAAAAAAAGGAATTCTCCTAATTAGCCTAAGTAGGATTTATAGACAAAATACAGCTAAATGCTAATTCCATTTTCTGGCTTTGTATTTTGCTAAGGGTTATTTCACAGCTGACGTGAAAACACTGCAGAAGATGAAATGGACTGTGGGTGGCTCATTGTAATGGTTAGATCATCCTACACAGCTTAATGATGTCTGGATTTATCTGTGATCTCCCTGAGTAAGGGAAATGGGCCATAAGGTCAAAATCTACAAATTAAAGGCTCAAATTTCTCTTCTCAGATACAGGAATTATCTCCAAACTGGTTACTGTTTATGTCTTGAAACTCTATGAGCAAATATTGAGTTGAAAAATCTGAAGATGATTTTTTAATGTCTGGGTATATGTAAAATTTAACAGAATAATAGTTTATAGGACTGCATCGAATATAATGTAAAATATTTATTTGAAAGACAGAGTAGGTAATTCAACTCACCAGATAATAGTGCCTTGGAGAAGGTAAGTAACCCTCACGCACACGTGACGCACAAACACTCGAGTTAGTGTCGAATAAATTGACAAAAAAACTTCAGATCTTTGCATAAAGTAAATCTACTGAATTGTTTTGATTTTATTGCAGGAATCCAAAGCTCCGCAATCCACATACTCTCTCGCACTAAACTCCGTAACGCCATCACACCAGTTCTAGCGAGGATTCACTGGCTCCCTATCATCAAACAAATCAATTTAAAGATCCACACACTCATCTTCAAATCCCTTCATTCTCTGGGTCCTCCCTACCTCTCCAACCTGCTTACTCCCCAAATTACTACAAGCTGCTCCACTCAACTGGTTTCAGCCTCCTGCTTGTCTCTCATGCCTACGTTCCACCATTGGGCTGCACTTCCAGTCACTGTCTTCCCCATCTTCAGATCGCCTCTGAAGACCTTCCTCTTCGACTGTGCCTACGGTCACCTCCCACTTCCCCAGGCTTGGTGTCTTGCTCCGCCTCTGTCAAATGCTCTGGGATGCTATATAAATGCAAGTTGTTATTTTGACTGTTTAGATCAGCAGGTCACCATGATACATCTTCATATAATAATAATAATCATCCTTGCATTTGATACAGCACTTTTCACGTCTTCTAGATTGCTCAAAGCGCTTCATAGAATAGACTGTAAAGTGAAGTGACACAAACATACATTTGTGGGCAAAACGCGGCAGCCAATTGCGCACAGCAGTGTCCCACAAACAGTCATGGATTGTTTTTTTTCTTGAGGGATTATTATCTGGCCTTGTGGAGTAAGGAAACATGCCCAAGGTTTTACCCTGCCGGCAGTGTGGCAGCATTTGGCCGCAAAAAATGAAACTAATTGGTATAGATAATTCTACTTTTTTGGGTGGAAATAATCCATCATCTTGAGATCAATTACTTTCTGTTATCAAAGCTGTCTTCTACTGTGACTTTGTATATTACAATCTGGGTGGAGCATGATCACTACCCTTGTCAATTTCTTGTAGTTGCATTGGAGTGTTATTTCTTAATAATTACAGTAATAATGTAGTCATACTTAATTTATTTGGAAATATTGAATTCGAAATGAGTTAATTTTACAAAGGCATCTCAACATCAAATGTTAATTAAAATATAATTGACTTCATTTATTACAAACCGTAAAACTTTATCTGCTTCAATTAAAATTGACAGAGTAAAAGAGAATGCAACAAAAGAAGTCCATTCATAAAAAATTAGGAGTTAAGAGTAAACTCATTATTTATTTAAAATGCTGCAAGTGTAAAGGCCAGGCATCCTTCTAATGTAGAATGACTGACATGAATAAGCTTCCTCTATGGCAGTTTTAACCTTGCTCTTCTTTTATTGATAACTCCTTGATCTATAATACATTTGTCCAATTTATCAACTCGAGAACCAGAACAGTGCACTTTATATCATTTCAGGACACAATTGTCAACTTTGCATTGAAACTAGTGATGTTGGGAATAAAAAAGATATCTGTGGGTTAAAGCTAAATGCATGTTTGTGGATGTAGATTGAGGAGCAGATAATTTTGCTGCTTGCAGATTTGAGCAGTTTATCAATGTTTACTTCCCGGGTTCACACCTGAGGAACAACCATTTCTGTCAATAGGCTTGACCTATCCCACATCACCTCTATAAGTTTAATTGGGGTGGGGGGGCAACTTTAGATAACAAGATTAATTCAAATGAAGAGGCTAACTACAGCCCAACTGATCTCATGCTTCTAGAATACCCAACTTTGCCTCAGCAGATCACCTCTGGGAAAGCACAATTAAACAAAAAAAGCCTATTGGTTACAGCACTCGCCTCGGAAGCAAGCGGAACTGGATTTGATTCCCGGGCAGGGCTAAATGTTAGGCATGTTTCCTTTCTCCACACTGTATACCTAGCAGTAAGTAGGAACCCAGTTGTTAGTCGATTGGCGAATTGCTTTTCCAGGGTAATTGCTTCGAAAAAATTAATAAAAAAATAATAATTTGGTCACACAATCCACAACTGTTTGTGGAACACTGCTGTGCATAATTGCTTGCTGAGTTCAGCTTACAAAATATACAGTTGATTCACTTTACAGTATATTCTGTAAACACTGAGACGTCTCGAAGACATGTTAAAGTGCTATATCAAATGGAAGGATGATGACAACAACAACAAGAAAATTACATTTGTATAGTGCCTTTCCCATCGGGAGGACATCCCAAGGCGCTGGACAATTAGTGTTTCGGACCCGAACTGGGGGTCGGGGAGGGTGGAGGGCAGGGGCTGAAGGAGGCTGATTGAAGGCACAGTCAAAGAGGAGGGTCTTGAGACGGGTCTCAAAGGAAGCAAGGGAGGGGGCTAGGTGGAGGGATGCAGGATGGAGTTCCAGAGGGTGGGGGCAGAGTGGCTGAAGGGCCGTCCGCCAATGGTTTATTATTATTATAAAAGCAGCCCAAGATGGTAACTAAAATATGCAAAATAAGAAACTCATCTCAGGATCAAAAGTCTGGCAGTGCAAGTAAATAGAGTGGACCAAGCCATTTAATGTAGAGAGGAGTGCGACACCCGCTGGTAGATATTAGATGTTCCTTAAATAAGGCAAGAGAAGCTCTAGAAGTTCCACAATTTTTTATCCTGAGGGATATGTTAAAGAGTGGAAAGTGGCAGTAATACAAATAACTGTTTGCATTACCCATAGAGAGTGATAATACAGGTAACAATAGCACACGTGATGGACCAAATAGCCTTTTGTGAGGAAAATTTCAATGGTTTGATATACAATTGGCATACTGATCTATCAGGAACCGATAGATTTTAGTTTCAGTTCTCACATTCTCAAAGCTCTATAACTCCGGTTATATATAAAACACAGAAAAGAGCACAAAGAATCTACATATTTTGGTGCATAAATTTGCGTTGTGTTGATAAAGAAAAAAGAAGAAATTCTTTCTATTCCTGTGGCTGAAATAAAACATTAGTATGTTGCATAGTGTTTTGAGTAGTCTGATATATGTATACATACATATTTGTATTTAATTAAATTCATGATGAACTGCTTCATGCATTGAGACATTCAGGTTTTATCGGAATGTGCAAATCATTAGCTATGAAAAATTGTGAATTGAATATTAGGTTTTAAGATTCATTTTACATAAATTGAATATAGGACCACCCACTCCTTTAAGCCCCTGGGTAGATGATATGTCAGCTACAGTAATTGTATAAAAGAACCAAGCAGTGGACTATCTGATCTTTTATTTATTAAGCAATTAACCAAATAGCTCAGGATTGCACTGAACAGCTGATTGCTCCAATCACTTCAAAGCAGTCGTAACTATCTATCAAAATAAACTTGGTTGATTTCAGCTCAAGGACATTTTTTNAAAAAAAGTAAAAGAATACTCCAGGGTAAAGGCTTTCAGCTGCTTCATCCTCAGGTATTCATGGAAAACTATATAAATAAATAAGAATCCTTACATTTGATGAGATGCGTTATGTTGTCGAACATCTCAAAATGCTTCATAGGATTTATTGCAGTGACTGGATTTTGTAGTGACCATGGCAGTCATTTGTGCACAGCAACGTCGCACAAACAACCGTGTCTTAAATAACCAATTTTAGGCACTCCGAGGTGTTGCCTGCATGAAGAGTTGTTGTTGTTGTTTATCTGTCAAGGACACCAGGAGAACTTACATTTTTCTAATAGTACCGTGGGATATTTAATTTCCACTAATAATCCTTATATTCGATACATGTCAGAGGTTCTGAGCCATGAGCAACGATTAGACAAGCTTGCGCTCTTCAGTCTTGAGATGACTCAGGGTTCTTTATAGAGGTGTATTCAATTTTAAATGGGATTGACAAAATAAACACATAACAAAACAATAACAATATGATGTACCATAGAACAAGAGGACATGGGCTCCTGATGGCCAGTAAGAGTGGTTTAGCAGACTGTACTTGTTTAAAAAGTAGACTATGATGGGAGGTTAATGGTGTGGGTATTCTGGAGGGATGAGATCAGACAGCTAAAGGGCCTCCTTCATCCAAACCAAGATCTTGTGAATTCTCAAAGCTCTTCACAGGACTCACTTGTAGAGTATAATGACTGTGTTTTACTATGCATGCACTGGCTGACATATTCCTTGCGCTTAAAGATGGTCGACTTCGATGTCAAGTCGTTACCAACATCATTTACCGTTTCCTGGGCAAAGAGTGAGTGATGTTGATTGACCAGATCACCCAGGCGGTGGCCTTTTTCAGTGCACAAAAATAATTTATAAATTCTTTCAATTCATGCAAAGAAATGAGAAGGTTGGGGTAAATGGAAGATATGAAATTTATTTGGAACCTAATTTGGGGTCTTTGCAAAATCATAACCTTATAGTTCTGTTTAATCCTAATATTGTTTTAAAGAGCTATCTTTGTAAGATCACAACTCCTTGGTGTTTCCTTAATAATACATCACAGCTTTACCAAACATGCTCGGGAACAGTACCATAAACTTGCCAACATGCATGGAAATATGCAGAAGCTTTATTGTGATCTGCTGAACTATTTTGTCATTGATCCGAGAAAAGTAACAGCAGAGGAGCTTTTTAGTGACATCAGTAATTTCAGAACTATGTTCATGGTATGTTCAGTATGTTATATGAAACCCTCTGAGGGAAAGAGGAATAAACAAGACTCCTTTTTGGAGTCGCCAGCATTGCTGTAATTTCTTTGATGAGTTGCATTATTAATGGAGTAATGTTTAAGATTATATGGACTAATTAATGTGGGTATGTGTGTGTAATGCTAATGCTGCACTTCAGTGTTTTCCACCAAAGAGTTTTATCAGATTAAATTTTGTTGTTACTTTACTTTGCCTTCAGCTATTGTTTTGCTTGGGAAAAATAGATGTAAGAAAATATTTCAGGGTGTCAGAGAAGCGTGATTTACATTGGCATTTGTGTTCCAGCATAAAATGAAAATCTGCATTCAAATAGTAATCGTATTCAAAAATGTTCTCCCTTCAGTTCTCAGAGTAACTGAATAGAGAACTGAACTGAAGTTAATTCTAAGGATGGTTTAAGATGTTTATCGGTTCATAAATAAAACCACATAAAGAATGTTATTCTCATTTTTGATTTCAATTTCATTTATGACACATCAAAGCAATTCATCTTTTAATTTTTTTTTCTTTTGTGTTATAGCAAGCAGTCAAAGAAAACACGAAGAGGAAAGAGACTGAGGAAAAGATGAGACGTGTGAAGCTGGCTAAAGAGAAAGCTGAAAAAGAAAAACAAGAAAGGCAGCAAAAGAAAAAGCGTCTGTTAGAGATGAATTCAGGTAAATGAAACAAGCATTCAAAAATTACAGTATCAAAGGGGGAAAAAATAATTATTTGGTTATTTCAGGCTGTTACCCAGTTGCTTATTGTGGAGCTTAATATCACAACATGCTGACCGTTAGGAGAAAAAAAAATTAAAGTTATCCCAGTTATGAATTGATTGCATTTTCATGGAATTTTGCTAATGAGATATTCTATATTATCTAGTTTGTTCAACCATGTAATGTACATCTGATACGAGAATGGCATGAAGCCTTTTCTCATCCAATTTCAGGCCTTCCAAATTAGAGGCACCTGTTGAGAAAGCTGTGCAAGCCACAATGATCTATTAGGAAGTTTATCCAAAGCACAGTTTGGACCTGTTTTTAAATTAACATAAGAATCAGCAAATTATATTTAACCCTGTTTTGAATGTCTCACTGTAATCATTAATATCCTCCAGCATTTTCTGGAAAAATGTATCTTCATAGCATTTCTTGGTATTCATAGCAACCATGGCCATCCCTGTATTAATTGCATTGGAATTTGAAATAATGAGACCACTGATTCAGCAAAAAGAACAAGTTGTAGTGACGTAAGTAAAGACAGCAACTTGTCAAGGTTGTGTACTCAGCAGCATGTTGTCATGCTACTGTTACTCGTCTGAGGCATCAAAATTCTTTATTTTTAAAACCAATTATTTGAATATTATTTGTATCTTATCAATTTCTCCAATATCCTTTGGGGCCACATCCATGCAACTCTGCCCAGCATGACGAAGCAGGGCACAAAGAGAACAGCTGTATGTCAATGTCGTGGAGTCCTGTAGCTCAGTGGTTAGAGCACTCGCTTTGCAAGCGAGAGACCTGAGTTCAATTCCAGGCAGAGGGCGAAACCTTGGGCAAGTTTCCTTACTCCACACAGAGCCTAATAATAATCCCTCCAAAACCCAAAACAATAATAAATTGGTCATTTTCAATCTACGACTGTTTGTGGGACATTGCTGTGCGCAATTGGCTGCCGCGTTCGCCCACAAATATACAGTCAATTCACTTTACAGTGTGTTCTGTGAAGCGCTTTGGGACGTCCTCTCAATGGGTATAAAATTGAAAACATAAAAAAATTATATATTAAAAATAGTTCATTTTCTCTGGTCCAAACATCTATCTCTGCACCCTCTTGTTCATCAGTTTCAAAGAATATGTCTGATCATCCTTGCATTTTGATATAGCACCTGGTCATGTCTTCTAGACGTCTCAAAGCGCTTCACAGAATATACTGTAAAATGAATTGACTGTATATTTGTGGGCGAAATGCGGCAGCCAATTACACACAGCAGTGTCCCACAAACAGTTAATAATAATAATAATAATAATCCTTGCATTTGATATAGCGCTTTTCACGTCGGGAGGACGTCCTAAAGCGCTTCACAGAGTACACTGTAAAGTGAATTGACTGTATATTTGTGGGCAAACGCGGCAGCCAATTGCGCACAGCAATGTCCCACAAACAGTCGTAGATTGAAAATGACCAATTTATTATTGTTTTGGGTTTTGGAGGGATTATTATTAGGTGTGTGGAGTAAGGAAACTTGCCCAAGGTTTCGCCCTGCCTGGAATTGAACTCAGGTCTCTCACTTGCAAAGCGAGTGCTCTAACCACTGAGCCACAGGACTCCTTGACTTTTGGATTGAGTGAACAAATATGGCACAAACCTAAAATTAATTTATAAAATTAGCATCATCCAGGAACATCAACTTGCATTTATATAGTGCCCTTCACACAGGATAGTCTTGGAGCGCTGGACAGTGGTGGGGTTCAATGCCAGACAAGGGGAAAGGGGGAATTCTCATTGTCGAAGAGGTAGGTCTTAAGATAGAAAAAGAGGCAATGAGGCTGAAGGATTCTTGGAGTCCTGTAGCTCAGTGGTTAGAGCACTCGCTTTGCAAGCGAGAGACCTGAGTTCAATTCCAGGCAGGGCGAAACCTTGGGCAAGTTTCCTTACTCCACACAGAGCCTAATAATAATCCCTCCAAAAAAAAAACAATAATAAATTGGTCATTTTCAATCTACGACTGTTTGTGGGACATTGCTGTGCGCAATTGGCTGCCGCGTTCGCCCACATATATACAGTCAATTCACTTTACAGTGTGTTCTGTGAAGCGCTTTGGAACGTCTTCCCGACGTGAAAAGCGCTATATCAAATGCAAGGATTATTATTATTATTATTGAGGCAGGGAGTTTATTTGATTGGAGATCTAAATAGAAAGGTTAACCATTAGTTTAGCTTATCTATTCTATATAAAATGATACTCAAGTTCATGAAGAGATATATGTACAGGAAAATTTGCATTTATTACTGCATAAACTCTTGGTGAACATATTTGACATATCTAGATGTTAAACACAAATGGAACACAAACGTTTTTGAAAGCCCATCAGAGTGTTATTTCTACCCAGCATTGATGAACATAAATTGTTGAAGTGTCATTTTGGAGTATGATAAAGAATACAGTTGACAGTTACTTTGTAAACCCAAATCACCTTTTTCTGGTACATGTAGCTAACTACGTGTGCATTCTAGTGATGAAAACATAATAATCCATGCATTTGATTTAGCGCTTTTCACGTCTTCTAGACGTCTCAAAGCACATCACAGAATATGCTGTAAAGTGAATTGCCTATGTTTGTGGGCGAAACGCGGCAGCCAATTGCGCACAGCAGTGTCCCACAAACAGTCGTGGATTGAAAATGACCAATTTATTATTGTTTTGTTTTGGAGGGATTATTATTAGGCGTGTGGAGTAAGGAAACTTGCCCAAGGTTTCGCCCTGCCTAAACAGATCTCTTTTCAAATTTTGTTTGTGAATGGAAAATATATTTAAGTAAATATTTATGTTTAGTACAACTACTTCACTTATATATTTTCCGTGTAGGTTGCATGTCATGAAGTGCTTCACCATGATAATGGGGGTTACAGAGTGTGAGGAAAAAAGGGGGCATTTGAGGGATTGAGCAAGGCCATGGTCAAGCAGACATATTTTTAAGAGGAAGGCAGAGAGATGACAAAGGGAATTTGAGAGACTGTTCCTAAATAGTGGGGTCATGATGACTGAAGATTCAGCCATCCTTTCTGGGACAGAGGGACAGAAGCAGTATATCACAGCAAGTTTGAAAATTTAACTTTTGCAGGTTAAAATGTCACCCTTGTGCCTGCTCCATAATTTGGCCTTACTTGCACCTGATTCAGGATTGAGGGTAAGAAATTCCACCTTAGTAGTTTATCGTATAATCAATATGCTCACTGGCAATTGGTTGCCTTAGCGTGAATTCAGCTTTAGGTATTAGAAAAGCCATTTTTGAAACTCTGGGCATGTCTGCAGTCCCGTTTGATGACTCATGTCCCAAGGCAACACTCTTCAGGCCTAATAACCACAAGATTAATTAACTTTGAAATGTGTTGTGCACATAAGCAATAACACAGTAGTTTGGGTTTACTTTTAATTTCACAGGGGAAAAGGAACCTCACAAGTGCCTTTGACAGCACATTCTCCCAAACTGTTGCCTTTTCGAATGTTCCTCTTGAGATGTTTATCCAGTTTCATTTTAAAGATTATCATGTTATCAACTTGTGACAAAAACTCCATATTCTCCATAACCCTGTGCTCTGCATACAAATACACAGTCACTACACTTCACAGTAAAATCATATGAAGCACTTTAAGATGTCTCAAATCTATACTAATAAAACGACAATGTCTGTGGGTGTGTGTATCAGCCAAGATCTCAATAACCGATTGACGTAGAGACATGATTTATACCTCATTGGAAAGGTCTTGCGAACGAGTGTTATGGGTATTTTTTGGGTGGATATCTTATAGTTGATGAGCTATCTTTAAAAATGCTTAAATTAGCCCCAAAATATGAGGTATACCTGCAACAAAGTAGCCACAGAGGAAATCATGCACAGTTCAAGAGAGAGACATCTGTACTAATATATTCTGCAACAAGGTAGCAAAAAAACTATGGGCATATTTTTGGGGATCACCTCTCATTATATAAATCCTGATAATCCAATATAAAGTATAAACTAAAATATAATAAAGTATAGTAATATAACGTACAATAATATGATATAAATTATAATAACATAATGGCTTCTGATAAATTCATACATGCATCAACTGCATTCCTGCCATCAATACACAGTGGATTTTCCTCAAAAAATCAATTCAGTTATTCAAGCCTTTTACAAATCTACGCTGACTTTCCTGGATTAATCCCTGCCTTTGTAAGTGTTTCTAAATTCCACATCATTGTCTCTAAAATTTGTCTAAAGCTGAGTGAAGTGTCTGTATTGGTAGGTAAACGCACTAACAAGGTCTTGTCTGGCAGTAGTACAACCAATTGTAAAACTAATCAGTTGGACAACTGGCCTATATTTGCTTTTTAAAAGCAAGGGTGGGAACATTTACCACCCTCCTGTCTTTTAGCTTGGTTCCTGTATCCAAATCATTTGGGAAAATTGTAGTGAGTGCATCTTCTATCTCTTCCCAGATGACCTTCAGTATTCTTTAATGCTCACTGTTATATTGATGTATTCAATGTCATTAACATTTTCAATATTGTCTCCCTTTTAATTTTTAGCTCGAGTAGATGCTTTCACATCATCCTCTTGTTTTCCTCTCGTTCCGTTTTCACCTTCCTCTATCCAAAATAAAGTAAAATACTAATTAAGATTGTAACCATCCTTTCCCAACTATAAGAGTAACCATTTTGGATCTAAGTAATCCTATCCTTTCTTTGACTCTTCTTTTTACATGTTTATTAAAAAACCTTTTACATTTTATGTTGACTATCAATCTATTTCCATGTTCCTTTTTAGTTTTCCTAGACTTTTTACTTTCCATCTGATAATGCTAGTATTTCATATACTTTTCTCCTGTATTGTTAGTTCAATATTCCTGTGCACAATTCACAATTTTTACCACAGTTTGTAGCACACTTCGTAGCAGTTCTTA